TTTTTTTTTTCATATCTGTAAGTGGGACAAAAAAGTGCAAATAATACCAAACATTTTTTGTTACATACAACACTGCGTACACTACACTATTGTGCACGACCAAAGTTAGAAACAAAATGACAGTGAGTCCACCTCTTTTAGGGCCCTCTTTTTGACCGAACCTCTGGCAATGCCTTTCACTTACATACAGTACATACTTACATAGATACAGATCATTAAGTGAGTGGCAGGAAATAAGAATCAAGTTTTTTTTTTCTTCTTCATAGAGGAAATGTTTACATTATGTAGGATCATATCACATTTAAGAGAAAGTGATGGCGCAAGCCTACTAAGACGAGCGTGTTACAGGAGGACAGCTATAAGAGTCGTAGGTCTACAGCTAGGAGGTGTCACGTCTGTCTCCAATAAGCGAAGCCTAAAAATAAAAAAATCCAAATGACATCGTCACACAGCTGTGAGGATGAGGTGCAGGTTCACCATAAATGCCCAGTAACACTTGTGGTCTTCAGTGCTGTGTTTAGGTGCACCCACCATGTTTCTTTTTCTTTCTTTTTTTTAAATCATGGCAAAATTGTACAATAGCTCCTTGGACAGCTATCACAGTCGTCACGGGCACAGTGAGAATTGTTACGCTAAGATTTTCCGGTATGTGTTAATAAAAAAAAGGCATCTCTTGTAGATGAAAAACAAGGCTCAGAGAAAAGACACAGGAGAGGGAGAGCTGCTGCTTTACATAAATAACGCCAAGAAGGACAGAGGGGATGCCTGTAACACTTCCGGAAGCAGGTTCGTGCTGAGTTTAAACTGGTAGCCCTTAAAACATGATGCAGACAGTTACCCTCTGTTGATTAAACACTGTCATAGATCAGAGCTTCACCTCTATAATACAGAAGTGTTATATTGTGTTGAGCAAATGATTTATTTACAACCATGGTGACACAGTTGGCTACACAATTTAAAAAAAAAAGGAAAAAAAAAAAGAAAAAGGTTGGCTATTGCAGTGGCCAACCATGGTTGCGATTGGCTGCAGGAGTTTAAGAGACATATAATTTATGTTTTTATACAGTATGTGCATGCTCGCATCAATTGTTTATATCTGTGCGGCTGTATCGGATTAAGTGAATGTGAAGCGCACTTTAACATGATAATAGTACCAGCCAGTGTATGTGGGGGGGTTAGGAGGAGATGGAGAGCTTTACTGGTTTCACAGTCGGGAAGAGTTTTCATTTGTGAGAAGTGAGAGGTGGAGTACTCAGAGGGGGGGGACAGTTAATGGTGACACTCCAAGTGTTTCAGAGTCTGTGGGCAGTGTACACTCTTGATGCAGGCCGGAGTGTCGTGTGTAGCTGGTGGTTCGAGGTGTTATTTGATGATCTGAGGACAGTCGCTCCAGGCTTTGGCCTTTCGTTTGGCCAGAGCAAGCCAGGCCGGCTCTGTGGAAACCTGCGGAGAGTCACTGGAGGGGAAGCGCTTTGACACCTCTTTGACAGCAGGTGGCGACGGTGTAGAGTCCGCAATCTCGACTGCAACAACAAACATGTAAAAATGTGTTACTAATCTGTTTGCTTTCTATATCCCATTATTAAACTCATTTTAAAAAAACAGATTAATTTTGAAGAAGAGCTTCTGGAAATAAATAAATTTGCCTGACTAATAACAGCAACTGTAATCAGAATAACCAGAAATCGTAGAAAAAGAGCTCATCCTGTTGTTTGTGACGCTAAAAGCCACTTAGTATATTCACTTTACTATGATATACGACAATTTTACCAGTGACAGAGCTCGGTAGAGTGTTGGCCTTCTTTAGGTGCTCCCGGCGTTCAAATTTTCCCAGGAGGCTCTCCGGTCTCTTGGGCTCCTCTGGCGTCTGAGGTTTAGAAGAAGGACTGGTGCTTCCACTTCCTTTGCTGTCTGTGGGGCTCACCAGTGTAACCTGCAAAAGAGATTTGGGATCCATTCAGAAGATGGACAGTATGTTACGGGGATCACGAGAAAGTGTGTAAACGTTTGTCTGCGGGGCATACACTGTCTCGCTCTTTAGCTTGTTTTTCTGCCAGCTTGGCCTCTCTTTGGCTACGACGCTCCTCCCGGTTCTGCTGCTGCTCCCTGAAGCCTTTCTGCTTCTGAAGAGCCAGTGTGATCCACAAAGGTCCAGCCTCCTTCTCCTGGACCCTCGCACTGTCCAGTGAGTGCCTGCTCTGTAGGGATGGTTTTTCTGCAGATGAACACACGATAGATGTTGTTGGAAACCTTTGATACTACAAAACAATATTTTTAATTTAACAAAACATATTCATCTCAAAATCATATTCCAAATTTTTCCACAGGACCTTTTTTTCTTTCTATCCGACAATGCGTGTAGGTTAGTAGAAAGAAAATAGCCATTTACATAAAAACATTCACGGGAAGGCAGACATCTCTACTGCCAATATCACCAACTCATGCCAAAACAATCTAGATGGATAAATGGTAATTTGATTTAGGTATGGAACATCTTTTTAAGCAGTAAATGTTGCCAAGACACTGGCAAATCAAATGGATTTGCATTATGTAGATGAGAAGATTGTTGCTTATGTCTCTTTACTTAAATAGGAAGCTACAGTCTGGAGATGCTTGGGGATGAAGCAGCTTACACAATTTTGTCTAAAAGTATCAAGATAAGCTTACAAGTTCATCTAAAGCTCGTTATTTCATGTGATAATTTCAGCTAACTAACAAGGATGCTGACCTTTCCTGATGAGCTCTGTCTTTCTGTCTGCCTTTTCCCTCCAGGGTATGTTAATGGAGGGGAAGAATGATCTCTTCTCCTTCGGCTCTTCTTCCCCTTGGACATGACTTTGGCTGCTCTTGTGCAGCAGGGCTGAAGGTTCCTCACTCCTTCCGGCTTGCTCCTGGATGGATGAATCCACACCCATTGTACTCTCCACTGAATCATCACTGGGAGACTCATGAGCCACCTTAGGTAGCGGTGACGGAGGAGGTGTTGGGGCCGCACCTGTAGGCTTAGGTGATGTCACTGGTCTGCGGTAAAGCGGTGGCTTGGAAAACACTTTCTCACCCTCACTGTGTGGAGTCGGGCTGGTAGACTTAGTCAGTTTACCCCGTGGGAAGGCAGGAGAGGCAGATGCATGTAAATACTTGCTGACCGCGCCTTCTTTCTGAGGTGACGTGGGGCTTGATTTGTCAGAAAAGACAGAAGAGGCATCAGAGTCTGGCTCAATGGGGGTAAGAGGCGAGGGGACGCCATCAAAGCTGTCCCCAGCACTGTAGCGTTTCTTCTTTTTCTCTGTGGACTGCTCGCTGTGAAAACGCAGAGAGTAGTTGGTCCTCCTCAGCTTTATGCCAAAAGGAGAAGGCTTCTCCTCACTGTCCTGGCCCTGCTCCTCTCCCTCCACTCTGCTTTCAGATGTCTCCGTTTCACTCTGAACTCTGCTCTTCGACTCTGCCTCTTCAGATTGAATTTCAGAACTGGGAACCAGGAAAGAAGGAAGGTCTTTGGCAAACATACACTCATCTGACCCTCTTTCTATGATGCGGACACTTTTACTTGTCCTGTTCTGAGGTTTACTTGATGGAGAGGGAGAAGCTACAGTGGGGCTTCCAGGTGGGGCAACCTCCTCTCCTGCTTCCTTATCTTCTGCACCAAACACCTCAGAGTTCCTATTTGAATCTCCAAACTTCTTCCTTGCAGGGGTGATGGAGAACTTGGCGCTAGCAGACATGGTCTTCCTGAGGTTCGTGTGAGCAAACAAAGGCTGTTCTTCAGCGCTGGACTGAGACTGGCTCCTGCTCGGCTCTGGGTACTCGCCGTACTTCCCCTCTTCTACCCCCTTGAATATCTTTGATCTGATGCTTGCCCATTCTGCCAGGACAGCTGCACTGGACTGATCGGTAGAGAGCGCAGACTCATTGAGTGATTTGGTTTTTCCAGACTTGCGTTCTGGGGAAGTCTTGCTCTTTGTTGGCGGTGTTCCTTGGGCCTTTCTATCCTCTCCCAAACCCAGTAGGGACTTGCAGGCGGTGTCTTTGATCTGGTCTAAATTGACAGCCGTCCCACATAGCTGGGCGCCTGTCACTAGGATGGCTGTATGGGGGACATATGGAGATGCTGGCAGGTTGGGGGAGTCTGGTCCTTCAGAGGAGGAAGCCTTTGCTCCATCTCTTTGATAAGCGACAGCAGCGCTCTGGTGGCTGGAGGCCGGCGTAACAGGCGTCAGATTGACCTTCTGGAAGAGAATCTGTTTCTCACCAGAGGACACTTTAAAAGTAAATGGCCTCTGTCTCTCCTCCATTTCCCTCCAGCGTAGCTCTTCAGCTCTCCTCTTCATCTCTTGTGGGTCAAACGTCCCATCAGCCTCCTCCAATGACATCCTTCTTTGCTCCTCTTCCTCCTTTTTCCACTTCTCCTCTGCTACCTTTTTCTTCTTTTCTTCCATTTCCCACAACCTCAGTTTCTCTGCTTCCTCCTCTTTCTTTCTTTCCTCTTCTTCTACCAGCTTCCTCCTCCTCTCAGCCTCAAGCTCCTGCTGCCTCCTTGCCTCTTCCTCATGTTTCCTCCTTTCCTCCTTCTCTTGCCTCTTCCTGTCCTCTTCCTCTTTCCTCCATTGTTCTTCTAGTCGTCTCCTTTCTTCCTCTTCTTCCCGCTGCCGACACTCCTCCTCTTCTCGCATCCTCCTTTCCTCATCCAGCCTTCTCATGCGCTCTTCCTCTTGCCTTCTTTCCTCCTCCTCTCTGATCCTCCTTTCCTCTTCTTCTCTGAACCTCCTTTCCTCCTCCTCTCTGATCCTCCTTTCCTCCTCCATTCTCTTTTTCTCTGCCTCCTCTAGCAGTCTCCTTGCTTCCTCTTCCTCTCTGATCCTCCTTTCCTCCTCCTCCATCCTCTTTTTCTCTGCCTCCTCGCGCAGCCTCCTTGCTTCCTCTTCCTGCTGTTGCATACGACATCTCTCCTCCTCCAGTTCACGCAGCCTCAGCTCCTCTGCTCTCCTCTTCCTCTCTTCTTCCTCCTGTCTGAACCTCAGCTCCTCAAGCTCTCTCATCCTCCTCGCCTCCTGTCTTTCCTCCTCATGGAGTCTTTGTTTCTTGAAGCTTTCAAGGGACTCAACAGACGCTCTACGCTGGTCGTCTGTGGAGACGCCAGCTGCTTCGAGGTCATCTTGGACCAAACCAGGAATGGATACCTCTTGGAGGTCCTGGAATGCAAAAGTCCAAGTAGTGTCACCTTTTTTTAAACAATAACAAAGGGTGTCACAGAATAAACAAACATGCAAACCCACATTAAAAGAAACTCACCTGTGTGAATCGTCTGTGCTTGCGGGAAATCCTCTGGTTTTTCGGCTTGACGGAGAGTTTATGTTTGGCGGCAGCGTTGTCTAAGCGAGGAACAGACTGAGGGACGGCATCAAGGTTGATGGACTCAATCGTGCCAGTGAGTGGAAGAACTCGTTTGGACCTTGGAGACTTCACAGGGGGGCTGGGTGGTCCAAATGGCTGACCTCCCTGGACCTGCTTATGTCACAGTAAAAGAGCAATTAAACTACAACTTCTGTAGACACAGTACACAGAAAGCAGAGGTGTCCGTGGTGTGATAAGGTTGTTTATTTATTTATGTGTTTATTTAATATTAATACAATCCCCTGATATGGAGTGATATACCAGAATCTCAAAAGGTTCTAACCAACTTCTTCACATGTTTAGTGCTACCCAAGACTTAAACAGAACAAATTTTGTTGTGTTAAATTAATCAACCTTAAAACAAACAAACAAACAAAAAACCTACCAGTCAGCCAACTCATACCTTTGGCTCTGTTCCTGGTGGCTCCGCTTCTACCTGGGCCAAAACTTTCAGAGGGCTACGCGGAACCTCTTCCTCATCTGAGCTGCCCTCATCTCCCTCACTTCTTCTCAGAGAAGGAGGCCTTTGGCCAAACTTTATACCTTGTGCTATCTGCCTCTGTGAGGATAAAAAAATAAATGAATGATTACAACATATCTAGTTGGAGCAAAAAGAGAAGTGAGTGTACACCTCTGCACGGCCCACCTGCAGATTCCTAACTTTATCCGACACGTTTTCCTGGGACATGCTGTGATCCAGACCAGCCTCCTTCACCGGTTCCTCTGGAATGAAGATGCTGTCGTGTGAGAGAGCTCGAGATCCGATGGGATTCAACTCCCTGCAGGAGAAGGAGATTGTCTTCAGTGCTGCAGCGTGTAATCTCTGTCAGTCGTTAATGCATTTATCACAAACTTGCTGCAGCAAAAAACTTTACACAGTGAAATGATTGACCCCGCCGTCCTGTTACAAGTCGTTACAGGTTGTAAGCTCGTATTGTCAGTGAAGCCTTTTGCCTTTAAAGTCATTTCAAAGCACAGCCTCACCTTTGTCTTTACAGATTATGTCACCTTGCAGCATTTTGCAACCGCGTGATTTAACACTTTCATTTGTCTAGAAGTGAATAAGAAGCTGAGTTGCTTTTAGCAGAGAAAAAAACCCAATGTACTGTTTTAAAAAGCAACAAATTCCAACCTTTGGTAGTGTAGTGAATGGACAATAAGCTCAGTTTCTGTGTGTATAGTATAGATGAATACATGTTTAAAAAAAACTGATCCATGTACTAACCTCAGATTTTGATCGGACTCCTCATCAGATGTAACGCCATTGCACACTTCCCCTGTGGAAAAACTGGTTTTTAGCTCTGCTCCATCAAAGCCTTCTCTCGCCTGTCTTTTCTTCTTCTTCCCAAACAGTCGTCTGAACGGCTGGAACTTGCCCTGTCGCCTTCTCTCTGGCGGTAGAAAGGAGAACGGATGACAACCACAGCCACATGCAATCACATCATTAATCTTTATATCTCACCCTCGGGCGAGATAGCGAGCAGGACGGTGCCTATGAGCATATACATGGTTTCACGCGTGTACTTAATGAAATGTGTTTGACGGAGTTAAAAGAAAACGAAGAAAACAGCAGATGGAATGAGAAGAAAACCTTGGCTCTTTGGTTCATACTTGTATTTACAGGAAGTGTGAAAGATAGACACTACACATAAAAAATAGAGCACCAACAGCCAAAGCAATTAATAAAGAAGGAGGAGGTCACTAGCTCCCCTACTTACAGACTGAAAATAAATGCACAACTGAAAGTAGGGAAAGCTCAGTTGTCGTCACAACTCCAAAAGCTATTACAAACTAGCCACATGTGAGCAGCACTACAGTAAATATAAAACTTCAAAGCTACACATATCACAGGTACCACTGGAAGATTCGCTTATCTATCAGTCTGTGAGGTAATCACTTCAAGTGTGTCGATTTAGACACAATAAAACAGGGCAGCTGTCATAAACCCTGCTATTGCTACCAAGCTCAGTGCTGATTCATGAGGTGTGTTTGACAAAAGCAAAGAATTTAACTTTGGACTTTCAGTAGGTATCTTTACCACCTCATCATTGTTCATGCCAGTAAGTTATAAACTCTTACACTAAACTTTCCCATGTGTAAACACGAAAACGTGACTGTGCGCTCTCTTCTCAGGATCCAAACAATAACATAACAATAAAAGTTTGCTTGAAAACATTTAACAGAACCTCATTGAAACAGTAGCTCGTGCAATTCGCGATCCATCATAATTCAAAGCTTATTACGCATAAAAAAACAAAACAATTATGATTCTGACCTTAAGCACAATTTGATTGAAGATGCATTAGATGATAATTGTGTTTAAGTGTGATTAAATTCTGACCACTATTGTAGCAGGAGAAGCAATTCTTGCTATTTGAACATGGATGGATGACACATTATGGCATGAGCTCATTGGTTCTTCAGCTAAAACTGTAGACAAACAATTTAATGATCTCCTCCGAGAAAATAATGTGATTGCTTCCTGTTTTTTTTCCTCTTGGTTACCAGGATCAAATAGTTAAAAACAAATTATGAGAGTTTTGGCTTGCTTCAACTTCTGGAGTCAATCCAGTCCCTAAAGACTTCCTGGATTCTTGCTAGATCCAGGAAGTTTTAAGCAGATTCTTTATCATCGAGACATAGAGCAAAACTTTGACATTTTATGTGATATCTTCACAAATATAAACCTAACTGAAATTAGGAGACATCCCCTGATGTTCTTAAGCTAATATCACAAACTAATCTGGATCTGGATCCTCTCTCCTGATCCAGGGATTCAGTTTGTCCACAGAGTGGAGGGAATTTTCAGCCTTGGTTGAGGTGTTTCAACAAGTACTGCAGAACATTTCTCCTTCAAAACTACAGCAGCTACCCAGCTGTGTGTCTTACTTCTGTGTGTTTGTGTAGTTGTGAAGGTCCACTCCCTGAACTAAGTGAGTGAGGTTACAAAGCTACAAAGCTACTCTACACCACTGTGCAGACAGGCATTCTCTGGGCTCTGCGGGTATCCCTTTCAGTGCTATAAGTAGAAACCGGTGTGGGATTTCACTTTGCATGCTGCTCACTAAACGAAAGGCATGATGGGAAATGATACAGTAAACTAATTTCCCCACTCCTTGACCCTGAACAACTCGAGGGTTTTTTTGTGTATGAAAGAGAGAGGACACGTTTACACAAAAAATATTTTAGAAACTCAGGGTCAAGGGACAGAAGTTTCCATCTTGTTCATCTTATATTTGACTCTGCTGAAGTCCCTCATCATTTGAAAAAAGGTCTATATAAAGATCTATATATACACCTTATCTTTTTGACCCTGTCCCCTAGCTAAATCCTACCTAAAAAACATAACCCTCATTTTCTTTTTGAAAAATGTTCTCAAGTATCAGCCAAGATAAAAAACTATTCCCATTTTTTTCTATAAAAACTTAAAACTACTGTTGTTTTTCTTCAAAACATGGACGTGACAGGGTTACCTTCCATTGTGATGCCCCAGATCCCAAAGGATTTTAGGAACAATTTTAATATTTTGAAGAACATGTTCATTCCTTTTCTTGCAGAGACTTCGAGACTTTGCTACTTTCATGACTTAATGTGAAGCTTAGCTTAAATCTATGGGAGAAACTGCCACCATGGCTCTTTCAAAATTGCATAATAATAATAATAATAATAATAATAATAATCACAATAACAAGCAAATCCATGGCACACAAATCAACATTTTATATTTATTTGCTTCAGTCATAGTAATACTTAAGTGTAAAACCTGTAGGTAGATGTTCACTTGTAAAGCAGTGAATCACCAGCAGTCATTGTCTTTGGTCAGCGATGATATTATGAAAATGATGAATGAGCTTACATGACTTTGTATCATATTTGTATTTTTTTCCCCAGTTTCTTATGGATATAGCTCATCTAGGTGCAATCTGTCATATGTTACTCCAAAGGCAAACAGGAAGGAACAGAAAACACCTTCAGACATTGTGCTATGAAGCTTTGGATTAAACCGCCCTTCAATATAAAATAAATTTTCAACCTAAACAAATTTTTAAGTTAAGATTTGTAAAGGATTCAAGACAAAACAGGTCTACTGCACAAAACATGTGTAATCTAAATAAATAATTTAATTGTTTTAATATTGTGGCTGATCTGTGTTTCTGCTGCCTTGCGTGGCTTCTTGTCATGTAATGCACCCTAAAATGACCAAAATGGAAGAAAATTGATAAAATCAATCAATCGAGACATTATGTCCACACAAGTCAAATGGATTTGGATTTAAACTGTGCGTTTGGTGAAATGGTTACAAAACACACATTAGAGTTAGATCAGTATCTAAATCTAACTCTGAGCAATACGCAAATCTATTAAAATCGTAAACTAAAACAAGTATTAGGTATTTCTTATATTTGAGGAAGTGGACAGCGCTGTCTTTGCTCCTGTCAACAGCTGCTGAGGTAGTTTAGATTCACAACACTG